CATCCCAGTTTTTCCTTCCCATGAAACAGATTCTTTCCCTTTCAAAGTACATTTTGTGCCTTTCAGATTTTATTTGCTCTTTAAGGTTCTCACACTGGTGAGACAATACCTATGTTCACACATGTCTCGGTTACTCTTCTCTCATTGCTGGGACACATACCCAACACTCTAAATTAAAAAAGGAAAGGTTTATTTAGCTCACAGTTACTGAAAGTCTCAGTCCATACTCAGCTGGCTCCAAGGCAGAGCGTCACATGGCAGAGGGCAACCTTTCATGGCGGCGGCAAAGAGCAAGAGATGGAAAGGGAAGGCCAACAGCCCAGGCATCTAGCTAGTTTCTCTTCTCTCCTTACATTGTAACGCAAATTCCCTGCCCCAGGGCAGGTGCAGCATCCACACCCACAGTAATCAATCACACACTCCAGGATTCCTCCCATGACTGCATGAGGCTTTGGGGGAACTCCTATATACAAACCATAACAACACATGTGAGTCTGATTTATTCCACTTATCAATACAGTCTCTAGTTGTATCCATTTACACATAAAAGACTCATTTTTTTTAATAGCTGAGTAATATCAGGGCGCATGTTTAAGCTAATTATTGCCAGACAGTCATGAAAGGGCTTACCAGTCTGCACTCCCGTAAGCACTTCACATGATTTCTATAACCCCACATCCCACTTACACTATTATTTAGCTGTCTCTTTATCAGCTTAATAGATATACTTTTTCTCACATTTCCATGCATTTATCTGATTATTAAATGTGTACAGTATTCATGTTTTCTACCTAAGAGCATGAAGTATCTCCCTATATGTTCACAGCATCCCCTAATTTATTTAATAACTTACTTATTTCTGCATATTTAGGTGGGGTCTGAGGAAGAAAAAAAAAGGGTTTCTCTGAGCTATTCAGAAAGCTATTCAGAAACCAATATGGAAAGAGGAAGAGATGGACGGATGCTGGGCAGCCACCTGTTCTCTGCTTACCTATGCAGGCTGCAGCCCCAGGCCTTTTTTTTTTTTCCTGTCTTTAGTACAGGGTCTCACTACACAGATGGGACTCATAGTGAGCCTTCTGTTTTCAGCCTCCCAAGAGCTGGGATTACAGGCACACGACACCACACCCAGTCTCAATCACCATCTCAGCATGCCCCGGGGGTGGGACTGGCATATGCCAGGGATAGAACCCCAGTCCCTGCCTCTGCCTATGCAGGCACTTCAGTCTGCTGAGCTGTCTGGCTAGCCCTACCCCCACGTCTTTAACAGTCAAGTGCCCACAATGTGAGCAGCATGGGAGGGTCCTCATTGAATGACACTGCTTCAACTGCCATGAGAAATGACAGGTTTTACATATAAACCATAGATGAATTCTTTCCTCATCACATCCCATAATATTTAACTTCAAGCTGTAAAGAGCTAGGATGTGGTGAGCCTAGCAGGCATGGAGCAGGGCGGGGGGCGAGGTTCTGGAGAGGAGTCCTGCAGCGGGCAGCAGTGTCAGGGGACTCAGCGCAGGGTGTTTCATCCCTGGAGTTGAAGCCTCCTTAGCCCTTTTGGCTCACTTTTGTTAAGACTTTTCCTCTATTGGGTCTGGAGCAGCTATTGAGCTCATTTGATTAATAAAACTTTTCATGCTTCTGCTACCAGTGGACAAAATTAAGATTAAGGAAGGATTTTACAGGAGATTGGTTGGCTGAGAGACCAGGACTGACCCTCGTCTACCAGAATTCCAGTCTCCAGGGATGGGGCAGACACCTGCTTTGTAAAGAATTCTCCAGATTATTACAGTGTCCAGCTGAGCTTGGACACACACTGCACCAGTCCACCTCTCTATCACCTTCAGGCAACCCTCGCTCTGTTAGACTTTTAAACTTTATAAAAGAAAAACTGTTGTACAAGTTTCAATTTTGCTTTTATTTTTTATACTTACACTATGCCATAGTTCTTAATAAAAAAAAAAAAGTCAAACAAATGATGAGTATGTTCACAGCAAAATCTCAGGCAGGTATAAAACAAACAATGAAAGATTAACGTTAAGTCATTTACTAAGAAAGAAAACCAGGGCCAGGGAGATGGCTCAGTGGATTAAGCGCTTCCCTGGCAAGCGCAAGGGCCCGAGTTCAATCCCTGGTTCCGCAAAAAAAACACTTAGCAAACACAATGTATCAGACAATTGGCTCCTGGGCCTGGCTTGCTTAGAACTAACCACTTCCTCTCTCCCAACAATTCATTTTAAGTCTCTCTTCAGCATTCAGAGCGGACAGAAAACACTGTTAATTGTTCCTCTTATATCCTATACTGATAGGAAAAAACATTAAAAAGCCGTCAATACTCATCAGAGAGTTGGACAACTGAGACTAATACAGGTTTTCTGTGTTGGCATTTCTCAGGTAATGCCTGTGTTTGGGCTTCTGCTGTACCATTAATAGCAGTGGCGCCTGGCAAGGAGAAGGTATAATTCTTTCTCAGATTGTAGGAGTTGCAGTCCACAGGAAGTCCTCTGTGATGGAGGCCCGTCGACTTTTATGGACTTCAAAGCTATTTGCTTCAGTACACTTTAAAATGCAGGGTCAGCTCACTGAGCTCCACCACGCAATAATAACACATTTTTATAGGAGTAGCTTGTCAGAGCAGCAACAACATGCAATGCATAAAACCAATAAACACGCCATGTCCACAGATTCTAGCCTAGTAACCAGATAAAGCAATAAAATTGGCAGCAGCCATCAAAAAGCTCCCTTTCTGACTTTGTGGGGTGAATTTACTGTTGTTTAGAGCCGAGGAGCTATCACAGAGCCTTAGACCAGTGTGCTGTGACCAAGCAGCAGGTTGCTTCCGGTGGAAAGGGAGCACGCCTGGCACACAGAAAGGAGGTGGGCAGTGGTGTCTCACTAGGGCTTGAACCCCTCTCGTCTTTAGTGTGAAACAATCTGCATCAGAGATTTTCTACACAGTGCTTTGGAGTTTCCAAGCTCCACGCTAAAAGGTAGCGAGGACGGTGTGGCTCTAGGGTGATGGGTTAGCAATCAGGGTTTCCTGTCTGCAGCTACAAACAAAATCCCAAAGCAACAAAATGGGCTGGCATTGACTAAGACTGGATTCTTAGGGTGTGGCACTTCTACATTCTAAAAATGAGAGGGGTAGGAAGAATAAGAGTAAGAAAGGATTTTACATGGAATCAATCACTAGGTTGAGAATTAAAGCCAACCTCCATCCAACAGAATCCCACTTCCTAGGTGTAAAGCACAAGAATACACTTTTTGCAAAGTATTCTGATATTCCTGATAAGAAATGTGTGGGATATCTGGGGCCATTGGCAATGTGGACTGAAGCTAAGGCGAAGTGGGATGGCCACCAGGGCAGAAGTAGGTGCTGGTACGAGCTCAGGGCTCAGGGGCTAGGCAAAATGCCAGCGGCCAACCATAAAGATATATTGAGTCTTTGCTTTGTCCTGGGCCTGTTCTAGAACACCACTGGGCAAAGACCTGGTCATGAAGCTTACACTTGGGGGAAACAAGACAAAACAAATCAAAGAAAGAAAAGAAGGTAATTCCATATGCTGATGAGCACATAAAGACATAGAGGGTGCTACAAAGCACACAGGCTAGGGCATAACTTGGTTTGGGATGGCTAGGGGAGGGAAGAGCTCTCTCCCAGGGAGGAAACCCAGGCACTGGATCTCCCTTGGAGATGGACTGCAGAGCCTTCCAGCCAAGCAGAGCAAGGGCAAAGGGCTGAAATCCCGCGCAGGCAAGAGGCTTGACACAGCAGGAGCTCAGTCTGTATTGATTTTCCTGAGAAAGAAAAATAGTCCAAGAGGATCGGTTTTCACATTTCCACTCTGTCATAATGTCCCCACCATCATGTTCCTACCTAAGAGATAATAAATGCTGACTTGGTGGTAAATCTGGTCAGTTTTTACTCTGATATCTAATCAGAATTTCAAAACTATAAATTAACATCTCTGACCTAAAATTAGTTGGAACATTTAATCAAGGGCTATACTATCATCCCTTGGTTGTCAGGGGAGAGTCGCCTCCAGGGCCCTCTATGGATACCAAAATCATCAGATGCTCAAGTCCCTTAGGTCAAATGGCATAATATTTGCAAGTAATCTGTACATCTTCATGTATACATTAAGCCATCCCCAGATTTCTTATAATATCCTAGAAAGTACAAATGCTTAGTATTACTTAGGGAATAATAATATGAAAAAGTCCATATATATTTAGTACATATGGGATTTTTTCTGATTATTGTCCATCCATGGATACAGAGGAGGATGGTGACTGTCCATATGGCAACGAAGTATAGAAGGTCCCAGCAGTCTTGCTTCAATCCAGACACGAGAAGATCAGGTCTTTTGGGCCTTGGGAAGGTCTACAGCCAACATCACCTCCCTCCCTGTCCTCTTTGTCTGTTTACATCCCATGCCCTTGCCCCTCGTCTTTCAATGGCACAACCTTTGCAGACAACTTCAGCATCAACAAAGCACACCTTCTCAGCAAGCCGGTATCCTTGTGTTCCCAGCAATGTCTACACAGGGATGGCTTCTTCCATTGATTTCCTTTGTGACACCCTCCAAGTTGTCAGATACCCTCCAAGTTGCATAGGCTTTTGAGGGTCACCTTGGGAACCAAATCACTGTTTATCTCTTAGGACCTGTGGGAAAGCAGTTTGTAAGGAACAGATATGAGCACTTTGGATCACAGCCCACCTGTAAATTGGATCTGCAACCTAAGAGCCGGAATACCTAACAGGCAGCTGAGAGCCTCCTGGGTTGTGGATAGGTGAGGCCAGTGACATCCTAAACCTTGGGGATGTGAGGGGGTCTTTTTGTAGTTATTTGCATGTTGGGGGTATTATAGAAACCTTAGAAACCCAGGATTAAAAAGATTAATGGAGCTTACTTGACACCAGCATTCACTTCTGTCTTTTCTTTTAAATTCATTGTGTTTTCCTCTTTCCATTTAGAACAAGCCTGGAGACTGTCCTGCGCTGCTTTTCCCAAATGGATAGATTTGTGAGAATTGAGATTCAAGCACAATGTGAAACTGCCCATGGGGAGGTAGGGAAGAGGACCGACTGGCCTCAGCACTGCCACGGAGAGAGCCCTAGAACTCTTCTTCCAGGGACAGAGTGAGAAGCCCTGGGAGAGATAGACAGGGGAGGGAAGATGCCTCCAGGTGGGAAACCCCTCCCTTATCTCCTACAACCAGGAAATGGTTCTGTGTCTCTCACAACAGCGTCTGGGGTTTGGTCTGAGTCAGTTTTCCTGCCATGGAAGGTTTGCATGAGTAAGAAGCTTAGTAAAGCACAGCCAGTCCTAGCCCAGCACCAGAAACTAATCTGAAGAGTCTGGTCACAGACCAATGACAGATTCTTCACTTAGGGCTTTTCACTAAACACATTTATTTGTCCTCCCTGAAACCTTCAACACTAAATGTGTTGATATTTCCACCTGAAAAAGAATTTTACTATATAGATGAGAAGGACAGCCAAGAAGAGCAAAAATACTGTCAGAAAGAAGATGCCCATAGCTGTAAGCCCACAGGACAGTGTAACATCAGACAGCCGAACTCCCTGTAGCGACGGCGGACTTGCGCAACTGATTTCCTCAAAATTCACAAATTTCTGCATGTTTTCTTTGTACCAGGTTAAGAAATGAATATTTGAGCAAGTGCAATCCAGGGGATTGTTACTTAAATTAATGATCTTCTGCTGGGATAAGATGGGGAGGAGATGGGGTAGGATAATGTGAATGTTGTTGGTGGCCAGATTGAGGTAGGTGCCCTTAAGCTGACTGAGGGCACTGATGCTGCTGGAGGTCAGGCTGTTGTGGCTTAAGTCTATATGAGTCACATTTCCAAGGCCATGGAAGGCCTCCTGGTCTATGGAAGAGAGATCACAGGAGGATAAAACTAAACTCTCCAAACTGCCCACCATCTGCAATGGGTTGGTCTTTGGGATATTTCCGTCTTGAAAGGAATTCCCCTGTAAATTCAGATGCCGGAGATTTGGCAGGCCTGCTAGAAGATGCTGATTACTGGTATCAAGGGAGCAGTGAGACAGATTCAGAGCCTGCAGGAGATGAAGGTTTTGGAAAGGACTTTGTGCAGCCATGATATTTAATCGAGTGAATGTCAAGTCTAGGAGTTCTAGCTGAGGGCATGCTCTGAATGCTTCATTCTGGAGATCCAAGCCTTGGTTGTAGCTCAGGTTCAGGCTTTTCAAGTGGGGTAGAGTTTTGAGCTGTATATTGCAGCAATCCAAAGCCTCAATGTCACTATGGCTTAAATCGAGCTTCTGCAGATTTTCTAATTTTTCTAAGCAGCCATCACCTAGTTGAAGTCTTTTTCTGTTGCCTTTGACGTAGAGGTGTGTAAGGGAGGGGAAACTAGCAGCGTTGATTTGACACAATTGCTCAAACTTATTTACATTGAGCACTAATTTCTTCAGTGAATTCATACCTGGAATCCCAGGTGGCAATTCTTTCAAGTAGGTACCTGTCAGGTCTAGTTCCTGGAGGTGCGTGAAACAGTGAAATGTGGCCAAGGAGAGGCTAGAGAAATAATGATTCTGCAGGTTCATGCTCTCGACAGACATTTCGCAAAGCCCCTCAAACATGCTCACACTCAGATCTTGGTCTTCAGTGTCCTCATATGAACCCAGCCAGAGTGAGTGAATAGTAGCATTATGCAGACCATTGAATATAATGGACAAGTTACTAGTCCCTCCAAAATTCAAACTTTGCAAGACCATTGACTCAAAAGTCCCAGGTTGGATGCCTTTAATGTCATTGCCGCTGAAGTTAAGGCTCAGGTTGGCAGCTGGTCTCAGAGAGTCTGTGTCTCCTCTAGAGAGGTAGTGTATGGCATTATTCTGAAAATCCAAGACTTTTAGATTTCCTGTTGGGAAGTCTTTGGGGAACTTAATTGAGGAAATATAGTTGCCTCCAAGATATAAACTTTCCAAGTTTTTCAGATTGTCTGCTGGAATGAACTCCAGGCTGGATATTCCCGTCTGGATTAAAAACAGGTGCTTCAGGGCATTGGGACCATTCAATGCTGTTTCTGCCACAAATATCAGGGGGTTTCCAGTTAACACAAGTGTGCTCAGCTGAGGATGGTTTTGCATAGCGTTTTCATGGATCCAGTTAATTTGGCATCTTGAAAGGTGATACAGTGTAACAATTATCCATTAGAGAAGAAAATAGAAAAGAAAAATTACTACTGTAAAAGGGATGTGTGTTAACCAAACCATTTTTGTATATAGTAAAATAGAATATATTAATTCAAAATCAAATATGTTATGTTTTCTTTCATACCCACAGTCTGTTGAATTCATTTTAAAAGGTAGCCTCAGTTCTGAATATTTAGATTTAGAATTTGTTCCAGGTATCTTGTCCCTATGATTTGCTAATTTAAATAATAAGTAAAAATGTCATACATGATACCTAACAGACAATATATAATATGAAATATATAATTGTGTAAACCTGTGCTATCCTGGCAAAGTTATAACCTTTCAACTTTTTTGAGGGAGTGGTAGTGCTGGACATTGAAACTAGGACGTTGTGAAACACTCTCAGGGACACTCTCAGCTACTGAAAATGGGCCTCTGCTTTCATGTATGATGTATTAAAGTGATGGCTAGATAGAACTATTGTATGTTAATAGATTAAAAATGTGGGTCATACATACAAATGCATACACACACACACACACACACACACTCCCCACTAGTATGTTTCCTTATCTATCCATAAGAGGTGGCACTATTCACCAGGGGCACTTCACAATGGTATTACAGACATGAGACAGTACTGCGGATGTGTGCATTCTCCCAACCTGCAGAAGCATAAGTGGAAGGACAGACCAAAGTGGGGGATGTCACACAGTGGGGACAGGCAAGGCCCCTTCCTTCTTCCCATCTCCCAAGCCCAATAAGCTGTGTGACCCTTTGTTTTCTTTCCATTTTTCAATAATTCTGCCTATTGGTTCTCAGATACTAGATGAGCACTTAGGAGTCTCATTCTGCTGCTAAAACCAAATAATGGGAACTCCTTTATCCAATTTGTAAAAAAGAAAAACAATTAGTAGGTGTATTTCTCCTGGGAGTATTTTCCTGATTGTCACAACCTGATAATAGCCCACTGTGCCACAATAGAGCATAATATGGCATTTATTTAGGATAAGATACACTTTTAGTTTTGTTATCAATATTCCTGAGAAGTTCTTAAACAGTATTGCTGACTCAGCTAATTTGAGAACACCCCCCCCCCAGTTTCCTCTCCATTGATTGGTGCTTATTCGAATCACAATTCAGTAGCACAGACTATTTCCTGAGAAAGGGTAAATGAACATGCAGTGTAAGCAGATAGTCCCCGAATCCAAAAGATCCAAGAATAAATTTAAATTTTGTGTGTGTGTGTGTTTGTGCATATGTTTGTGTATGTGTGAACCTAACTGAAAAAGCCAAAGCCCACAAGGAACTCATATACATACCTGGTTAAATCCAAAAAGATAAGGTTTATGAGTCTGCCAAAGGTGGTAGCTTGAATTGTAGGCAAGAAATTAAAGCTGAATTCCAACATTTCCGTGGTGTTTGGCAGAGTATTAGGAAGCTCACCGAGACCTAAATTTCCACAGTTATATATTGTGTTGGCTTCTTTCTAATGGGAGAAACAATATAAATTAACACTGAATTCAGTAACAGGTTGACTAAGTAAGCAATCCTAGATATTTTTACCCTTTTGAGTAGGAATCTTATTCTCAGTAATCTTGACCAAAGACACACTTGTAAAAACAAATGACCTATGCACAATTTCAGTCAGTATAACATTTTTGTCAGAGCAAAAGATTGACAATAACCATGGACATATCAGGCTAGTTGACCAAGATGTAGTTCATTCACAAAATGAACCCTCAGAAGCTGCAGAGGGAATGAAGAAGGTCCGCGAATGTTGACTTGGAGTAACGCCCAGGACACACCATGAGAAGAAAGTGGCAAAGCGCAAAACAGTAGACAGTGTGTAGACAGGGGGCTTCCCATGGGTATGCTTGTAGGTTCTGTCTCTTGTGTTTTTTCCATTTTTTATTATATTTGCTATACATAAAAATACTTGCATTGTGGGGAATGGATGAGTACCCATATCATGCCCAGTCATTCTTACTTCCCCTCTCTTCCTCCACCTCTCCCCATTCTCAGAGCCCTGCCTCATTTCCCTATAGTATATCTCCCTTTCCCTAGCCTCTAAAGGAAACCAAGGTAAAAAGACAATAATCTCTGTGGTGACAGAAGGGACAAGATAAAAAAACCAGGATGAAAATAAGATTTCTCTGAGTATACTTTGGTCTGTGGTTTGCCTTCTGGATTCATGGGAGTGCTTTATTTTCCTTCGGAAAACAAACAAACAACCCTAGATTAGCATTACCAAAATAAGACAATGAGATAAGTATTTTTGATGCGGTTAAAAAAAAATTAAACCTAGATCCAATCAAGAGTTGTCAGCCTAACTTCCTGTTTACAAGTGACATGGCATATTTAAGTTAAACATACCACAAGGCACAAGGTAGCAGCCAACCAAATGCAGAAAGTGGGACCAGCTGGGGGTGGGTAGACTAAGATTTAAATTCTATCTAAGAGACAATCAATTTAAAAGCTATCTAAGAGACAATTAACAGAAGAACAGATCAGCCCTTGTTTATTTTGATTCAAATAAAGTGAGGAAAGACATCTGAAGGATTGTCACAGAACTTCAAGAATGGATTAGATGCTATTAAGAAATTATGAGGTCATCCCAGGACTGATAGGAGGACAGAAAATTTAAATCTGACCTGGTAGTGATGTAGCAAGGCCTGTTTCTCAACACACACACACACACACACACACACACACACACACACACACACAGAGCTGGGGAAGTAACTCAATGAGGAGGCCCTGATGTAATGCCCAGTACTACAGAGGGACTGAGTATAGAGAAAGAGAAATTTTAAATTTTGTAAAGACAGTGGTCTTGTAGTCATGCAAAGGAAAGTTCTTAATGTTACTTAGTGGTAAAATGCCATGCTCTTTGAGAACTGCTTTACAGTACTCTGACAGAGAAGGAAGGGAAGAATAGGTAGATGGAGTAAATAGGCAAAAGGTGATGGTTGTTGAATATTGAGTACGGGTAGGTATTGTGCTGGATATTGAGCACCGTAGGAGTGATGCATACATGGTTAACTATTTTTCATACATTACACATTTTCTTAACACAATTTTAAAAACCAACCAGGTGGCACAGAACTTAGATCTTACAATCTTTTTGGTATAAACATTTCTTTATTATTAAATTTATTGGTGCAATTTAGATATACATAATGTTCACATTCATCATAGGGAGTTTGTACCTGTACATGAACGATCTCCAATTCTGTTTTTTCCCAACCCTCTTCCCCTTACCCGTTCCACCTCTTTTCTCCTCCTTATTTATAAAGTCTTTTTTTTTCCATTTTCTTCTTCTCTCCTCATTTTTGTCCTTCCTTTCCACCTCTCTACCCTTATCTTTCGAAGTATTTATTTCACAATATCTATTATATTTTGGTTCCTACACATTCAGTTTCTCAAAGAGACAAAGCAATATTTTTATGTCTGTCAAATTTAGTTTACTAAAAAGTATGGCCTGAAGATCTATAGTACTCCAGTATACAAAAAATATTTTTAATCCACTCATCAGTTGATGGGTGTTTGGATGGCTTTCAAGATTCAGCTATTACAAAATATGCTGCTATAAACACAGGGGCACATATATCTGGTATGATACTTTTAATTCTTTTGGAAAGATACTAAGAAGCAGAATACTTGGGTCAGATAGGACCTCTAATCCTACTTTCTTGTTTGTTTTTTGGTACTAGGAATGGAACTCAGAGCCTTGTGCTTACCAGGAAAGCACTGTGCTGCTGAGCTACATCCTCAGCCCCTCTTGTCCTACTTCTTTGAGGAGACTCCACACTGATTTCCTCAGTGGTGGCACCAGTCCACACTCCCACCAATAGTAGAGAAGGGTTCCTTTCTCCCCACAGCCCTGCCAGCATTTGTTATTGGCTGATTTCTTGATGGTAGCTATTCTTTCTGAAGTGACATGGAATCTCAGCATTGTTTTAATTTGCATCTCTTCAATGACCAGTGATGTTGAACATTTTAAATATACATTTATTTGCAGCTTCTAATTCTTCATCTGAGAAATATATATTCATCTCATATACTGATCTTTGGATTAGGTCTTTAAATTTTGGGGGATTGATTTTTCTCACTTTTCTTTATGTTCTAAATATTAGTCCTTGATCTGATGAACATATGGCTAGAGGTTTTTTTTTTTTTCCCACTTTTTGTAGGTTGTCTTCTTACTCTGTTGGTGATTTCTTTTGCTATGCAAAAGCTTTTTAATAAGATGAGATTCCATTTGTTGATTCCTTGTAGTATTTCCCATGAAGTCAAGGTTTTGTTTATCAAGGCTTTCCCTACACCTGTGTTTACAAAAGTTCTACCTATTTTACCTACCAGCAGATTTAGTGTTTCTTTTTTAATATTTAGATTTTTGATTCATTTAGATCTTAGTTTGGTGCATGGTGACAGATATGGGTCTAGGTTTAGTCTTCAGGATGTGGAAAGCCAGTTTTTCCAGTACCTTTTATTAAAAGAGACTATCTTTCTTCCAGTAAACATGTTAGCCTCTGTGTCAAAGATAAATTGGTTGAGTGTGTTTGGAGTTGTTCCTGTATCTTCTGATCTGTTCCACTGAGCCTCAAGTTCTCTGTTTTTAGTTTTCTTTCTGCCAGCACTATGCTGTTTTTATTATAGAAGCTCTGTAGTATAATTTCAAGTCATGGTTTGTTATGCCTCTAGCCTTGCCTTTGCTTTTGCTATTCCATATCTTTTCTGGTTCCAAATGCATTTCAGGAATCTTTTCTCCAGTTCTGTGAGGTATGCTCTTGGTATTTTGATTGGAATTGCATTATATCTGCATAACAATTTTGGAAGTCTGACCATTTTCACTATGTTAGTTCTTCTTACCAAAGAAAAGGGGACATCTTTCGATTTTCTGGTGGCCTCTTCGATCTTTTCCAGAGCACTGTAGTTTTCTGTGTGGAGACATTTTATTCCCTTTGTTAGATTGATTCCTAAGTATGTCCTTTTTTAAATGCTATTGTGCAAGAGACAATCTTAATGTATTAATTTCAGATCTCTTGATTTATAGGCTGTGGATATCAGATGTTAGACTTTGACCACAGCCCCATACAGAGAGATTGCACACTCTGTGGCCAGTGTAGTGAGAGACTCAGAGGTCTGACAATGACTATTTAGTAGGTGCCCTGCCTGGCAAGCCTCTACCCGCCAAACCACACCAGCTGTTTTCCTCGTGCTGAGTTGCAAACAGACCTACTTAGCTGGAAACTGAACTGCACCCATCCTCCTTCTGTCTAAAGTGTGTGGCTCCAGAGATGTCGTCATTGTCATTGCTTTTCACCTTACTCCAATTTCTGCTTAGTGGTGCACTTTTCTGTAGCTTCCGCGAGTACACTCATTTATAGGACACTGTGGGTTTGCTTGAATATTGTGACAACATTACAACTGTCACTGATGAAAATGTCATATTTATATTTACTGTAATTCACTCTTTGCTTTTATAGATCCAGAGTCCTCTAGGCACTGTCACAAATCCACAGAATGTCCTTGAAACACAGCTTGGCATTAAAAACTTAGATTTAGCTGGCTAGTGGGACCTGCTGCCAGGCCTGTCCTTGGCGCCCTTGAACTTGGGCCACCCAGAGGGAATGTGCATGTGGAACTGCTGCCCCCCACCCCTTTGTTAAGTTGTCAGTTTGCTTAGAGGAGACAGTTTTCTTTCCCCAGTCTCCACTGACATAACTGACACACTTGAAGAAAGAGGACTTCCTTCAATTTGTCTTGCTCTATTGTGGCCCTACAGCAAAAGACTCAACACTGGAAATTGCCTCCTTCTGAAAATACAGGTCATGGCGACACCTACATTATCCCATGTTTCAGCCTCTTGGGAGCTTCAGTAAGCACATTACCACACTAATGTGATTCTGAAAGTTGAGGATCCACAGGATCTCTTTTTGTGCCTGTGACCTGAGGGAGAGTCTTAGACAAGGAAATGCAAGTGAATGAATAGGTCAGTTTCATCCTTGCTGTCACTGAGAACGGTGGTTGATTCTATCAATGAATATTCGCAAGAAGCACACTGGAGCCTAAGCACTGAATGAGGTAATATCAAGTTAGGTGGAAATGGTAATGAATCCGCTGCCCTGGATACCTACGAGAAAGAGGCAATGACAAAAATACAGTTGAGAGAGTATAAACACCAAAGACACTTCCCAGTGCATCTTGGGATAATAAAAATTGCCTTGATGATGGGGGCATCTAAGCAACATGTGTTCTGCAATCATCTATGAACCATTGATTGCTTTTGTTTTATGCATTTTTAAGGCTTGAAATATACAAAAGTTGTTTTCATGCTTTTTGGTGGACAGTAAATTGTAGACCTCATGACTACTCACCCCTAAATACCTCCCAGTTTTTATCTCCTAAGGATATAGACAACCATAGTGCCATTGTCAAATTCATAGTACTTAACCTAGATTTTATGTTGTCTATTGGATGCTC